CTTTCAGCTCTTTTGAAAAAGCTGATGCCAAAGCCGGAGTCAGAGCCACAGTGGTTCCAAACACGTCCTAAAGATGACCTTGTTGGGGTGCTTTGAGAGCTCCTAGCAGGAGCGGGAAGGTGGACATTGGCACAGTGACAATTGGCGGCAAGGTTGAAGCCTAGAGCTCATTATCGGTAATGGTATGATTAGAGCGTCCAGATGCCAAGAGTACCTCCAAACGCTATGTGGCCTCACGCTGTCCACGTATTGTATCCACCGCATTCGATACCTCCCCCTCAAGTAGCCACTCAGAACTATCTTCTCTCGTTCCATCTCGTATCTCCCTCTCCTCCATGTCTCCGAGAAATCACAGCGCACCATCGCTGCCTCCTTCCTCCATCCAAGTCGACCACGCCGCCTCCTCCCTCAGCTTGCGCAGCGCCTCCGCGACCTCTTCCCCAACCCTAGCGCCGCCGGGATGCCTCACCGTTATGGAGCCACCGCACGCTGCCCATGCTGATGGACGTTTAGCGCACGTGCCGGGGCGCCTCAGGTCATCCCCGGCCAAGCCAAGGGCAACCACGAGCGCGCCTGGTGCTGGTGGTGCTCGCTTGCCGCCGGCTCCCACCCCGATGGCCAGAATCAACTATCCCCGGCCTCCACTCTATGTTGCAAATGCTTGTTTCATATTTATGTTTCAAGTGTTTCATATAGATGTTGCAAAAGTAGATCAGAATGTTGCAAGTGTTTCAGAGACATGTTGCAAGCTTTATGTTGCCAATGTTTCATCTGTTTTTAGACGTATGTTGCAAGCGTGTTTATTTGGATGTTGCATATGTTTCACACATATGTTGCAAAATGTTTTATCTGGATGTTGCATATGTTTTACAATGGTTTTAAGTATTTTTTAGGTGTTTCTGCAAGTGTTTCAGACTCATGTTTCAAGTGTTTCATCTGTCTTTAGACGTATGTTGTAAGTGTTGCATCTAGATGTTTCAAAAGTAGATTGAATGTTGCATCTCTCTCCTCGCCTTCTGTTGCCTCGCCTCTGTGCCTCTTTCTTCTCCCAGTGCCGGCTGGGCATCCAAACCAGAGGCGCAGGTGATGTTCAGGGCTGGTGACATCCAGGGCGTTCAGAGCAGCGCGGGCCCCCGTGTGAGGGGCGCAAAACTAAGTGTAGCCGTGGATGTCGTCTAGACACTATCAGTACCGTTAACTGAAGCAACAAGAGCCACTCCTCCCAAACATGGTTCCAGAAGGCCGCAGCAAATGGGCAGAGACCAGAGAGCAACCAAACAACCCATATAAATCAGCCCGGAGCGATCTAACTTGTTGGACCATGGCTAAATCTTAGTCGGGCTCGGGAATTAGCAACACAACAATCTATCACTGGCGAAGTGTAGAGGTTGGCGGAAGGACCGGACCGGCGGGTGGACGCGTCACGTGCGGGCTTGGATGTGGATTGGGAAAAAAAGCTGAGGAAGACCTGCGTGCATGACTAGGCCGGTCCTCTGAACAAGCCGAAAAAGGCCGGATACATGGGCTGGGAGTTTTTTTTTGCTTAACTTTGTTCCAAAGCCACAAGCTTCCAGATTAGTGATTGCGCAGAGGCATTTTATACATTGCTTTGTGTTTTCGCGAGCTGACTGGTTTATTAGGGCTGATCTTCCACTTTGTAGCGGCGCGCGCTGATCTGTCAACTCTGTACAGATATATGGCCAAGAAAGCACAGGATAACCGCCAGAGCAGCTTCATCCAATCACCGGCATGCATATAATCGGGGCATCATCAGTCTTCTCCGTCTGAAACCTAAAGACGGCAGTGTCTAATTTCCCTGAATTATTGGAGCTACTAATGCGCGCGCTGCGTCGGATAAGTGACGCGCGCTCCAACTGTCCGGTCGTGTACTTGCAATTACTAAAAGGAGAACGACACGTCACGTAGAAGCAGTCAGAACATTGCTTCGCTTCGCTTTATAAGCGTCTTTTTTAAATTAACGAATAATATTTTTTCTCACACAACAAATCGGTCAATCTGCTTTCAAAATGTACCAACTTTATCAATTTAGCGAATGCGACAAGTAGATTTGCTTCTATACTCTTTTCGTGACATCGTTGTGGCTGCTAAACCGGTTATAGTACGTTCATGATGAAATCAAGCAAACGCGGTTGGTAAAGCTAGCGAGTCAGCAGCCTAGCACCCGTTTGAGCATCTGAAGCAGCCTGTCAACTGACGGTGGATCCAGCTGATTCAAATTATGATGGACTGACTCAGTCTAATAAATAAACTAAATAAAAGTTGTACTACTACTACTACTACTTGTATCAAGTGGAATATCCATGGCGATTTCTGATGGACAGTCGTCGATTTTTGGACACAGCACACATGGCACGTACTGCTGGTAGAATAAATTCAAGTCGCGGTCAGTCTCCAAAATCCCAGCCAGATCTTTTTGTGCGCGGCTGCCACGAGCACGTGATGCCGCCAACGACAAGCCACGACGTCAAACGCCTGGACGGGGGCCACGCTGGGCCGCCGTGACCGTACCCATACCTCGCTGGGCTGCAGCGTCGATCGATGCCCCTGCAAGGAACCCAAGCGCCGCGCCGCCGCGCCAGCTACCGGATCATGTCTCTGACAGGCGGGCCTCTCACGAAGTCACGAGTCACATCGCCAAAAGCCCAAAACTCTTTTTCTTTTTTGGAAACCCAAAGCCCAAAACCTCTCACAAGCGGAGAACAAAACAATGCACGAAGGCGTGCCTGCAAAAACATGTGGGCGAGGATTTCCCACTGACTTCTAGTGCAACCCATGGAGGCACGGAGGCCGGAGCTCGTGGCCAGGGATCAAAGATCCGTTGCTCTCACTCTCCAGAGCAAAGAGAAAAGAGCAATACAAGACGGTTTCTCGTGTGCCATCTAGTAGGGATCATGAAAACGATCCGTTGCTTATATTTGTTTCTCAGAGCAAATTGAAATAGATAGCACGATTAGATGTCGACGGTTTATGTGATTCGGTGATTGTGAATGGATCTTATCTAGTAGGGAGGCACGTGTCCGGCGGTGAGGCGACAGGAAAATATCGGTGTTTTCATCCTAGGGGCCGGTGAGGCATCGTGTTGGCCTGGGGCCTCGGCATCGTGGTGGTGGCTTTGACGTGTCAAAAAGCGAGGTGGCGGCGGGCCAGCCGACAGCGCCAGTCCCCCGCCTCCCTGCGCGTTTCTACTCTTATATCCATCCATCCATCCGACCATTCGAGCCGAGCAGGCGCGACGGCGGACGGCCCGGCGCGTCCTGCGACCCAATTTTAGAAGCCAAGCAAAGTTACCTTTCGTCGCATGAAAGCACCAAAGCGGAAGCGGATAGGATCAGATTTCGGAGGAAAATCTAAGGCCCCAGATATTTCTGCCGAGATATTTCTCCGGCGAGGCCGCGCCCGAGAGCTCCGGCGAGCGGGCGCCCGCACGCCCTAGCCGCGCTCGGAGAAGCCGCCATGGCCGCCCGCCGCGCCGTCCGTGGCCCCGAGCCGAGGAGCACCGGCTGCAGCGCGAGGAGCCCTATGCCGGGGAGCACCGGCCCTGCTCGCTCGCCCCTCCTCCGTCTTTTCTTCTCCCCTGCGAAGCCTCCACGCGACCGGCGGCGCTCCGCTCCGCTGCGCCGCCCGCGGCTCTCCGACGAGCTCTTCGCTGCGGCCACCCCCGCGCGCCCCTCCCCTGCGAGGCCACGCGCCCGTCGCGGGCGAGCCGCCTCGGCCACCGCGCGCCCGCCCAACGCGCCGCAGAACCGGCAGGAGGAGGAAGAAGACTGGGAATTTTTTTCCGACACTGACAAGTGGACCTATCCTAAGGACAATTCCAACTAAAATGTCCTTGCGTGAATCTGAAGTTAGGCCTTTTCGTTTGAAATTATCGCTAGAATCTATTCTCCTATAATAAATCAGCCTTTTTTATCAACTTATCGATCGATTTTAATCTATTCTCCTTTAATTGGTCTTTGGTTTTAAATTTGGCATGGTTTTTTTGTAGAAAAATCGCTGACCTTGGCTAGTTTTAACGTGTTACCCAAACGGTTTCATGTTAGATCCAAGATCCACGAGTGGAGCTGCTCCCTAGTCAATGCTAGATCCAGATCCAGTTTTTCAGTGTCCAAACAGACCCTTTATATTATATACTACTATATATAGTTTGCAAGATATTTTTCCCTTTATATTATATACTACTATATATAGTTTGCAAGATATTTTTGCCAATCTAATATCCAAGATATTTGAAGCGTGTGTGCATATAAATAGGGGAAGTTTGCCCTTTGCTTTTGCCGAACTTTATCGTCGATCAAACAGCCAAACCGCGTCTCTAGTCTCGACACGATGACACATATCCACCAGCCACCGCAGGCGCGGCACACCAAAGGCGACGACGGGAAGGCAAGCCAGCCGACCGGCCGGGCCGGACCGATAGGAACACCGAGCACCCCCACCCCTGTCGTGCAACCCCACGACAGCGCATGGGAGCTGCGGTGGTGGACGAGCAGCTGCAGGTGGAGGCGAGGCAACCCGACCGGCGGAGCAGCGACGGCCACAAGAATCGAGCGGCGCCCGGGCGTCCTCCGCTCCGGGCCCCACGAAGCCTGTAAAGGCGGATAGATTATTCATCCGGTCCCGGCGGCGGCGTGAGGACGGACGGAAAAGCGCGCACGGAAAAGGGTCACCGGCGGAAAAATCCTGTCCGACGTGGCGCCCTGGCCTGTGGCCTCGGCCCTTTTTCTCCCCCGTCTCCCCCCTCTCGCTGCACCATCCAGCCTCCATTTCGTTTCTTGCCTCATTGCCTGCCTCCTCTCTTCTCCTCCCCTCCCGCTTCAGGACCGGCAGCTCTCGGAAGGGTGTTCAGCAGCCGGTGGCTTGGTCTCGGTGGTGCATGCTCTCGCCTTCTTCTGCTTCCTGCTGCTGCTACTTGATTCGTGCTCGTGGTGAAGAGCCGGGGGTTGAGGTGCTGTCAGACTCGGTGATTCACAAATCTGGAGATGGCTCGTTTTCAGGTAACTAACTACTACTTTCTTCATCTGTCGTCATTCTTCCCGATCGTTTTGGTTTGTTCGGGGTAAAGCATGTTCTTGGAAATCTGTTACTTTCCTGGCATATGTATGCTCCCAAAAGTAAGGCTGCTGAGTTTTTTTGCTGAGAAAATCCTGAATTCCTGTCTGTTTCTGAAGGCGAGGAACGATCAAAGGCCTGCTGCAGATCACGTTGGCCATGGAAACTTCATGGATCATCTGAAGAACACTCTGAACTCCGGTGACATGGACTTGCCAGGAGGAGCGCGAGCCCCTAAGGTACACCTAAAACTTCTCTTGCGATCTGCAGAGCAGCTTTAGCATCGAATTCCAAATCTAATGAAGCTGGAGATGTCTTCCTCTCACCAAGGTCACACTTTTGGCACTTGCCGTTTAGGCACGCAAGCCATACACGATATCCAAGCAGAGGGAGAAATGGACCGAGGACGAGCACAAGCTCTTCTTGGAGGCCCTGCAGCAGCACGGCCGTGCCTGGCGCCGTATACAAGGTGAGAAGAGTGCCTCTGCGCCTGTCACCCTTCTTTATTTATGGTCATGTACTACAAACTTTGTTACCAGAACTGCACAGAACCTGGCTGATGACCTGTACAATCTGCAGAGCACATAGGCAGCAAGACTGCCGTGCAAATCAGGAGCCACGCGCAGAAGTTCTTCTCCAAGGTCTCGTTGCCTCTTGCATAGAAAAAAAAACCCATCAAATCCCCTCTGCCTGAAAATTCCATGGATTGTGTTGCTTGCAAGGTGATGTAAGTCAGCTCAATCATGGACAGCAGATGCTATCCATGCTGTGCCATCCAAGATGTGCTTCTGATTGCTTTTTGCTTTGCACGCTGCAGGTCATCCGAGAATCCTCTGGGGATAGCAATAGTGTAGCTGCTCCACCGCAAATTCAGATTCCGCCGCCACGGCCAAAGAGGAGGCCAACACACCCATACCCGCGCAAGCTGGGTAATTCAGTCGGCAAGGATGCCTCTGCAATCAAACAGCTTCAGAAGCCCCCGTTGCAGACACAGTCCCTGTCTGAGCAGGAGAATTGCTCACCGAAATCTGTGTTATCCACAGCACAGATTGACTCCGAGACCCTGCAAACTGAAGGTAGTGGATCACCAGCTTCCTCGGTTTACATGGAGGACAAATGCCTCACACCAAGCACATCAGTAGCACTTTCCAAGGTACTGAACATTGTTACAGCCATAATATACCTTGCAAAGCATATGTTCTTTCATTCCTAAGAATATTAGGCATCCAACTAAAGTCCATAATTCCTCACCATATATATCAGCGCACTAGAGGTTCCCGAATTATAGGTGGTACGGAATTGCAAATTCGTTTCCTTTGAGAACTGCATCTAGTGGCACAGTTGGTAACACCTAAATTCTGAGTTCTAACAAACGCCTTAAATATGCTGCAGGATGCAACCACTTCCAATGATGCGGCATGTGAAATACCTGAAGGTCCAATTCTTAGGCTATTTGGCAAGAGGGTTGTGGTTAATAATTTAGATCAGCAGCCAAGCTCCAATACTGGGAGCCTACAACATGTGGCAGACATGGAACTGGATGCTTCAGATGAGACACCAACTAGTGGAACTGGGAAGTTGTCTTCCCAAGTTACAGAAGAAGCAAAGACATGGTGCCCATGGCTGACCGGTACACAGCAGTTTATGTACTATCTTCCTCAAGGGGAGGTGTTCTCTATGCACTCTGCTTGCCAATTCCTCTACTACGGTAATGGAAGCATATCTTACACAGTGTTGAACGCACAGACAGTTACCTCAAATAAGCAGCAGAACCAACCATCTCAAGCTGTAGACTGCAAGGTCACGAGGGCAGAAGGATCATGGACGGAGTCGAACACAACCTCCAGCAGTGTGGCTGAAACAACTAAGAATTCAGATTCTATAGAATGCACGAAAGTAAACAACGATGAAGACAAAGTGATACCTGTTCCAGGTTCAAGGAAATGTGCGAGCACAGTTCCACCCTGCCTTCGAGGTTTTGTACCATACAAGAGGTGCACAGCTCAAAGCAAGATGCTGCAGTCAGAGGAAACTGGGGAGGAGGCAGATAGAGACATGACAAGGCTGTGCCTGTAAAATTTTGGGCCCTCGCCACCGCTACTCTGGATATTTTTGCTGATATTCAATACGTATGACTAGTACAGTACATCAGTACTGATGTTTTGTAGGATGACCATTCTGGCGTTCTGCTGTTACTTATGAGAGGCAGATTGAAACTGGTGAAGCAGCCTTCCACAAATGGAGGTGACTGACTGACTGGTTCCTGTCTGCCATTGTATAGTTCAAGACTAATGTTTCCATTTTCCTCTCGGAGTGTTTGTAATTTTCCCCCTGGCGGTGGAGGTTCAGTGGTCAATGGTTGTCATGCAGCAAGTAATGTAATAGTTGTAGTAGGAGACCATATTTGTATGACCTGTATATGTAAATTACAAATGTTGTTTTGTGAAACAATGAAATGGCAGCTACACGACCGAATGCTGCTAAGGTTTCTTCAGTTACTCTATTGACATATGAACTTCACGCGAGCTTTGCCTGCATCAGTGTGTCTCATCAGGGACTTTGCCAAAACCTACAATCAAGTTTTTGAACAATGTTCAGTACCTTAAAAGTTGTAACACTGGTGGTGCAGTACAATCTAGTTTTTGAACAATGATCAGTACCTTAAAAATCGTAACACTGGTGATGCAGTACGGCCGTGCTACAGAAATCTGCAATGAATGAATTTAGTTTACACACAGAGTTTAAGTAATATAGAAAGGCTTGTCAGGTTCATCGAACAAGCGTCAAGGAAACTGGATGACATTTCGCTTGGCACCTGGCCACGATCCTTCAGGGTCCATGCCTTTGTTTCGCAACCTCAACAAAGATTACTCTGCCATCCAGGAACTGCAGAACATAGAGTGTGAGCTACAAACAAAGCCTACAAGTTATCTGAACATCTGACGATCAACAGATTATCACACAAGCATCTGACGATCTGAACATCTTTCACCTTCCCGTGCATTCCTTCCATGGCGCCCCTGGCTTCCTCCTCCTCGGTGTAAGAAAGGAAAGCGAAACCTCTCGGTCGCTTTGCTACTCTATCCATCACGAGACAAACTGGAGTGGCAAGCATGAAGCAAATCTGAATAATTCTGAATCAAAACGGGTGCAGTTTCTCATCACATTACTCATCTCGGACTGTCACCTTCCGTAAGGTCACCAAACTTCTCGAACGCGTCCCGGAGGCTCTGTTCGGTGGTGCGGAACGAAAGACCTGTTCGAGGAAGGGAACCGTCAGAACGTATGCTTTAAGATTTCGGCCTTGGAGATCTCGAATTTCGTCAGGAAATCGTTGGCTGAAAGACCTAAAATGCACGGCATAGGATTACCAAATCTAGGAGCCATGTGAGTGCGCTTAGATCGGGGCGCCTAAGGGTTACCACTTTTCCTGGCCACGCTCGATTATAATCTAAGCGAAGATTTCCTCGCTTTTCGCTTCTCGTAGTTCAAATCTCTGAAGCGAATTACCACGTAAGCAAGAATCGGTGGAAATAAGCAAAAATAAGCGAAGGATTCTCGCTTATTTCCACCGACGAGCCGCTTATAAGCGGAAACAAACGGGGCCTAACATAGGATTACCAAATCTAGGAGCGAAGTGAGAGCGCTGAGATCGGGGCGCCTACCGCTGACGTACAGCCTGGTGGCGGCGTCATGGGAGGCACTCCGCTGCTGGAGGCAGGCCGTGGCAGTGGACGCGCGCTGCTGGTTGCGGACCCCAACGGAGGCGGCGGCTGGACGATGCGTGGGCGAGGGGGAGGGGCATGCCACGATAGTGAAGCTGAAGCTTCTGGAAGCAGCGATCGTGAGGGCAAAGCCGGCGTGAGCGCTCGCCATTGTCGGTGGTGTGGAGTCTCGGAAGGATAAGCCCTGCCTTCTATTCGGGCGGAGAGAGTTTGAACTGTTTTCAGTTGGATGCTTTCTCTCAGAATATGAACCCTGACAACTATTAGCCTTATGTCTGAAACCATTGTTACAACTTTAGTTGCCCTGAAGAATCAAGGGAAACAACTAACACTGAACAAATTCTACTTTCTACCAGGAAATTACAACTGATACTAGTTCAATTCAGCACTGCATTTTTTTTTTTTTTGAGGAGACATTCAGCAATGCATTGTTCATCAGACTAGATCATGGTAACTGAATCAGGAGGAAATGGAGAAGACGGGGGGCATCCAGCCGTCATTCACTGAATCTTATCTGTACAATCATATCTACAGTAAGTTAAACTGCCTATTTTCATTGGAAAAAAGGATGGTCAGTTATCTGTTCCGCTAATATCATCTTATCTGCTCCATGTCATTTGTCTTCCTGCTCAACAGTAGACACCCCAATCTGACCTTGTGGTTACTCTTGTACACTCTTGATTGTGACCTCTAGCTGATGTTGTATTTTTTCAGTACTGTACTTTGCGTAGACGCTGCCCTTATTCTCTTCCCACCAGTGCTGAGCTTCCTTCTCGCCAAAATGCTTCCGACTACACCACCAAGAATGCCTGGTTAGGTTATTGCAAATGTGAAAAGTAAAATCAAGCACCAGTAAGTCATCATAGGACCCACCTGAATCGTACACGTTTTATGTCTTTCTTTCCACTAGGTGATACAGCAAATGTGACATACACCCCACGCTCGATTTGCTCAATCACACCATTGGAGGTGACTCGAGCAACAAGGGAATCCGCTTCTGTAATACAGCCATTACCATCAAATGTTCTTGAACCATTCAAATGACTGCACGATCCTTCTATCTGCACATCAGAATTCGAAGAAGGTGTATAGTCATCTCCTTGGCTGCTGGTCTGGTGATTTTTGGTGATGTTGAGTTGTCCGAATTTGCCTGTGGCAAGCTTTTCGCTGGAATAATGTTGCAAATCTGCTGACAATGTTTGTCCTTGGCTGATATTAGATTTTGTCTCAAGGTTCTCATATTGTTGACCAACCAAAAGTTTCTCTGACAAGGCCTTACACTGCACAGTTCACAACAGGCAAACATGCCAATCAAGGCAAAGTGACGCATGGCACTTTCTTACTGAAAATAAAACTGCAACTGAAACAGTGTACTGACTATACTTTGGAATCAGAGTATGTATCATGCCCATACCTGATCAGTTAGAACCTTAATGATGTCTTTGGCAGCTTTGCATTTTGCAGCCTCATCCCTAACAATTAGCCATGTCTCATCAAGTTTTTGTTTATACAGTTCAACCTGAAGAGTTTTTTGATGGTATTGCTCCACGAGAAGTGTCACCTATTGAAACACCAGAAATAGTATCATCTCGTATTTCTGGAAAGGGAAACAAAATTATTTGCTTATCAGTGACATAACAGCATAAAGTTACCTGTGAACGAAGCTGCTTTACTTCTTCTGTGAGCAAGGTTTCTGTGCTGTTCAGATCTTTCCTCTGGTCATCATTAGGCTGTTGCAAAGATCTGCCAGACTTCAGCACTATGGGGTCATGCATTCTCTCGGAAACAGAGGCACTACACATATGATTCTTCGATATAGATTGATACCGAAAACTGTCTTCTCCAGGTAGAAATTGAGCTGGGCACTCAACTTGCCCCCATCTCTGAGATTTTGCTTGGACTGGAGTGGCCGGGACCTCATTTCTCTGATTGGGGCATTGTACTAAAGCCACCTTTTCTACAGGTAAGTTTGCATCCCTGAATATACGCGACAACTTTGGTGTGTATGACCTTATAATTTCAGCTCCTTTGCTGGTCTTTAGTTCAGACTTTACCTTAGCAGAATCCACAACTTTCAGTAGCTGACTGAAACACCCATCACATACGCGATACCTTCTGCTCTTGTCTGGTGCAAGTGCTGCCTTGGCAACCTTGTTACTACTACAGGAATTGCAGAACATGGAACCACAATGGTAACAGTTGTGCTTCTTTCTAGTGAGACCAAAAGCCATCTTGCAACCACTACATACAGAGAGGTCCTTCCTTGAGATTATCTTATGCAAACATACTGCTGCAGTATAATTGTAACCACAAGATATGCTTTCCACTTGCCTACCTTCCAATGCATCTACTAAAGTTGGAGTGCTCCTATTAAGGTAGTCACCTAAACCAAGCTGCCCTTCCTTGCCTTTACCCCATGTAAACACTTTCCCATTTGTAGTCAGTACTGCTACATGGGAAGAACCTGATGATATATGTCTGACAAACTCGGTCTTAAGTAGTCCTTCAACAGCACAAACAGTTTTACCATCTGAATGGGGGTTCCCCAATTGCCCATGCATGGAACTGCCAATAGTAAAGACCACACCAGTAATAGAAAGAACGACAGTGAGTGCCATCCCGCAGGACACCTGAATAAAATCATAGTCTGTGAGTGAATCAACGCATGTTGGTATAAGCTTCATCTTTTTGTCAGCATGACCCAGCTTCCCCCGATCCGCATCGCCCCATGTGAACAGCTTGCTTCTTGGTGAATTGCTCTTAAAATCACTGATTACTTCCACAATGGCAGCTGTGTGCCATGGCCCACATGCCACACATTTCACTCTTGAGCCTTTCAAATACTCTACTTCTTTTGGTCGAGTAGTTCCTTGTGTATCTCCATGACCAAGAACACCAAATGTTCCATCCCCATATGTGTATAACTGACCAGACGATGTTATTATTGCTGTATGCCAAGGACCACAAGCAATCTTCACAACCGATATGCCATCCAGTGGACTAAACAATTTATGAGGAAACCATTGATTCTTTGCATAGCAGTCCAACTGACCCATATGGGGTCCTTCGCCCCATTCAAAAAGTTCACCAGAAACAGTTACTGCACAAGCGTGCTTTGATCCATATGCCACAGCCTTCACATGTAAAGAGGCAAGAGACTCAACAAGCTTGGGTCGGGAGACTTTGATATTTACTTGATTTCCAATTCTACCACTGCTCTCATTGCCCCAGGAGTAGACCTCCCCTTGCTTAGTGATTATAGCTGCATGAGTCTCTCCGCAAGCAATGCTTTGTACATCAAGCATGTTGGTTGAGTCCACTAACATGGGAAGGGATTTTGAGGTATCATCATAGTCTAAAATACTTCCAAAAGCATCACCCCAGAAAAAAACATCCTTCAGAGAATCTAATCTACATGCTGCACGGGGTCCTTCAAAGGTTTTCAGTTTAGGTGTTTGGGTAATTTCCTGCTCCTTTTCTTTGTTACCAACCATAATATCCTTCAAACCATGTATTTCTGGATTTGAAATCTTGCGTGTAAGCTTTTCCAGGTAGGTATCTTTGTCAGAGAATGTTCGCTGCCTTGGGTAAAATAATGCTTCTGAACAATCAGCACGACCACCCAAAAATGTTCCGTGTGTCTTCTTGGGGTTCCTGTGTGATGAATATACCTTAACATGAAACGCATTAGATGAATCGTTAGACCCAAACAGAAGACTGTAATTTAACCAAGAGCACTAGGTGTGTAGAAACAAAAAGGCGTATCAGTAAGGCATGTCTACTTACATATGGTGATATGGACAAGATTAAAACAATACGAATTATTGGGTTCATAAAGTCAAAATCATTTCAATGCAGATCTCATTTAATAGCCTTGCAGTCATAACTCATAGGTGTGTGGTTTGTTGAGATTGATATAAGTTGGTACAACCTAAGAATATTGTGTTTGCCAATTGGCCTCCTGAATTTCAAATTCAGACAGTTCATTGCCCTGTAATTGCCACGTGAAGCCCCTTTCCCAACAAAAACAAACATTGGAGTACCAGAGAAAAATGTCAAAGCAAGCGATAAGTGTTACCATTCAGATGCTACAATGTAACTTCTTGAACTAACCTGTATGTGCCTTGGTGTGCCATGTGCACTTGGTAACCTACTCTTAAGCTGAATATAGCTGCTGGGAGTATTTGTACAACTGTCCATCTGTCTACTGCTCCTTGATCCAATCGATGAACATGGGCTACAAGGAATTGGTAATAAGGCCCTCAAGCCCAGATACCAGTATTCAGCTTGATCTCTGTCGCTGCAGATCTGGTCATTGTTTTTGAAAGATATGGTGCTGGTGAGAAAAAAAAATGGACACTACAGACTTACAAACCAAAATGACTTGGACATTGCAATGCACATACCAAGTCAAGTGAGCGCTCTCCGTTTTTGTATATAAGTGAAAAGGAATGGGATTCCTTCTCTGGACAACGCTGTCGCAGAAATTTTATCTGCAAAATTCTGAAATCTTTAGAAATAGTTGTATCATAATATGAATAACGAATACCATGACTTTTCTGCAGCACAAAATGAATTGTGTACCGTCTTCTGGCCAAGAACCACAGCTGACACGGAGCTTAAGCTCAAGTGTTTTTCCCTCCCTTTTGAGTACCATATTAATGTTGTCTCATCCTGAAAATAGAAGAAAAAATATTTCCCCATGACTGGAAGGTGGATTTTGATACAACTAGTTAACTATATATACATAACATAACAAGCTGCAATTCAACTATAATACAATAGCGGACAGAAATCTGGCAAGACCTCATAGTTCAATTGGACAAAACTTTATGACTTTCCCCTCCAAAATGGTGCTGTTTTGGATATATTCATGTCCAAATATAAACATTTGACTTCTACTTCTTCTATCGCCCTGTTTGCTTGAACTGCTTATCACCATGATACAGTGTTTTCCTCTCACAACAAAACAGCATCAACCGGCTGAAGCCGTAGAAACCATCAGCCGGCTTATCTACGTAGAAATTATGAAATAAAAACTGGAGGCACTTCTAAATTTCTGATCACCAATATACTAGTATCATTTGCCATGTGACAAACCTAAATACTTGTATGACTATTAGTGATCACGGTTCAAAAATTGGGCTGCTCTAGAACGAAAGCTTGGAATGGTGGTCCTAGCTTCAAAAGTTTGAACTCTATTATAGAATCGTATGATATCGACAGGGGTATTTGCAGTTCTGTGACATTTCAGAAAATGGAACTGTATAAAGTCAGTCAAAGGAATCTGCTTTAATTTATTGGTTGAGACTAATAATATTGCTTACTATCCAATCTATTGAAACCTCATGCCAGTCTCTCTTTGGCAGGGATTATAAGCAGTTTCAGAAGGGCACGAACAATAAACATCTAGTTCAACACTTCTAGCAGAATGAACTGGGGTAGGAAAAAAGTATTGAAATAGGTAGATAGAAATCCAGTGTACACAATATTTTTTTGGTTACCATTAGGTCTCTATAAATTCAGAATTACCACCCCAGGTATTAAAGCTCCCCTTAATAATCTAGGAGTCGTGTGTAAATAAAAAGGAAATAAATGAGAAGAAACTGAAATCATGGACAACAAGGGAGTACCCCTATCAAAGGAGACAGGTTCTAGGATTTGTTGAAGGGAAATCGCAGGCACTAGATTACTCACAGATGATAGCCTGAAGGCACAGAATTTGGGCTTCCCCCTCTTGCCACATTTCAGGAGATGTGCGCCCTTCTTCAGAGCAACGATGGCCTGAACAAAGCAACAAGTTGAAGCAATCAGATGGCTCAGTCGGTGCATTCCAACCCTCTGCATTTCATTTCCCCCAAAAATGCAGGTATAGGATCCCCCAAAAATGGTTAGGAAAAGAGAAAGCATCAAGTCCTCCCGCTCCAGCCTACTAAAAGCGACCGTGAAATCCTCCAAGAAATGGACTGGAGATTGGTGCGCAATTTTGACTCGCCTGCTCAACGCCTCTGGTTGGCGTCCTCCCGTCGAAGCTCCCCGCCATTGCAGGCGAAATGGAGAAACAAGCAGGTGGCCGAAACTACCTGGATCAGCTCTCTCCCTCTCCCTCTCTTTCCACCCTCCTCCAGTCCTTTGTTCACAGAATCACAGGTGCCACAAAGCCAAAGCTCGAGGCTGTGGAGTGAAGCGACTGAAAGAAAAGGAAGCAAAAGGAGCAAGAAAAGGAGAGAGGTGTCCGTGTCTTGCAAATGAGCTGCAGCTGCAAGCCTGCCGCCTGCGGGCAGTTCAGGGCTTCAGGCAGGCCGCAGGGGTCAGGTCAGGGCGCTGCAAAAGGTGAACAGGTGGCCGTGTCACCTGTGCCTGGTTGAAGACGGAACAGTGGCGCCGTGGCGGAGAGCAGAGCAGGCCTCGCTCCTGCGCTCGCTCGCGCGTATGTTTTCGGTGAACCAACGGAACAACTCGCTGCGCTGGGTGCTCCGGGCTTTGCGCCTTCGTAGCATCTGGCCATCCTCTAGCTACCAAACAACCATACTCCTAGGCCAGTCCTGCGCTCTTCGGTGAGCGTGTGTGAACAGTAGGAGTAGCGGTACGTGTGCCAGCGAGGAGAGGTTTGAAAATGTTTGTGGGTGCTCGTGTCCAGTGTCCTCTCCTCTAAAAATCTTGGATTTCATCCGTGTCACGGTGTCAGCGTGTGTGGGTTCTTTGCTCTTGGAAATGTGGCCTCTAGGTGTGGCAAGTAGAGGCTACGGCAATAATGGTGTCCAAGAACCCGATATGGAGCTCAACATTGTTTTAGGTCTCCAATGTCTCACGAGTTGGGGCCGGGGTACGGCGAGCGCATCGGACACCGAAGCACGCATGTGTCCGCCGTTGTTTTGTGGCGAAAACGAGCGTCGAGGAACGAAGATGTTGGCTTATTTAACGGTTACTTGCTTGCCTTTTTCTATTTTAAATAAGCGAGGAAGGTTACATGCTTACCACTCTAGGCTCTACAGGATCGTTTTTAGGTGTGTTCGTTTCTGTGTGTTGGGCACCAAAGATTCTACATTTAGGCCATCTTTCGTTGCTTGCCTTTGTGTTTCTCGCTTGAGCCCTTGAGGTGGAATACTGTACAGAGGCAGAGCGAACGGATCGCAGATCCGGCACGGAAAAGCGCTTTTCGTGAGGATCTCACGTACGATTCGCGAGCAGCAATTGAAGGCCGCCGTAGGTGGATGGATAGGCCGGCGCGCGGCGGTGGCGCGTCGTGTCATGTGTCGAGCGTAAAGCCGTCTGGTTGGCAGCGGCGGCGGGCGGCGGGGCACGCAGACGCAGCACTCTCTCACACGCACTTGTTGCTGACTTCGCGAGGTGCAGCTGCTCAAAGCCGGGGCGCAGCATGATGCCCATGGGCCATGCTATGCAGCGGAAAAGGTCCGGGTCGCCGGAGCACTGACCAAGCTTCTCCGTGTGAGAGCCAGCCATCACCGTCGCTGCTAGCTTTGCGTAAGTTGCCTGCGCTGGCTGCCGCGAGCAATTAACCTATTCATGCTCTCGGCCACGTATCGGTGTACGCACGTTGTCTGCCTGCCTCAAATCCCTATCCTTGGGGATGGATGAAGCAACTGGTGAGAGTTGTGTATTCTCTCTGATGGAGTGTTGCAGTCAGACGACAAACGCAAGGATGAAGCAAGCGCGACGCGTCCATGTGAGGCCGGCCGAATCCAGAGTTGGTGAAGAGACGAGCACAATATATTCCCATTTGCGTCTGATGTGGAAAGGCCCGGATTATCTATCACTAATTCATTTAAATAACGGAGGAGGCCATGCATCCAGCGCACGTAGTAGACGTATAGGGGCCGAAGGCTCGGGTCTGAGTCTGACCATGCCGGTATTACACGGGGCCGTTTGGTTAGGCATGTTCTGTAACCTGCTAGCCATGTGCAACGAGTCTAGCCTGAAACTGTACGTACACATAATCCACCGCGTTCTGGCCTTCTACTAGGCGTGTTGTACTGTGTTCTGTGTACATACTCGATCAGAGATTCAGAGCACTTCGTTCTGTGTACACCAAAGGCAGTTGAGCTTGGTGTCGTCTGGGTTGCACTGACTTTGGTTCTGCCAGTCCTGGACGGACAGTGTGCTAAGAAGTCAGCGCTCTCCGTGTCCGTGGTAGAGTGCGTACATACTCCAACCATTCTTCGCCGGCCCGGCGCGCGGCTGGCGCCCATCCATCTGCTGCCGCGGCTGCTGATTATCCGCAGCACAGGCAATCAGGCGCACATCCGCGGTGGAATGGAGGTGGAGCGGACTAGAAGCAATATGACGCAAGTGCGCGTCTCAGCTGAGCCGAACACGGAACACCGAACACCACCGGGTTACTCACACAGTCACACACTCCCGCCGCTAGCTGCGGCGAGTGCTGCAGGGTGTAGGCCACACCTGCCGCGCGCACCTTTCCCGCGCACGGAGCAGGTTTTTTGCTCCCCCTAGGCCCTAGCCCACCATACCTACTCCTGCATCGCTGCTAGTCCGCTACTGTACTGCTTAGTAGGTGCTTCCTACTCCTCGAGCGCGGATCATACAGGTTTGGTGGCCACATGGGACGTGATCGTGGGACGGAGTTTTTTGGACGCTTTCTCATGTGTCCTGTAGACCTGTACATACTTTGCACCGCTGTTGGTGCGTGCACGCACGCACAGCCACGGCTCCAAGTTCATGCACTCCTGTTGTGCAGGGGGGATGGACGACGGGTGGTTCCCAAGTTCGAGCATTCCCACCCTGTATGGTATAGGAGGCCACTAGGCCAATGTGCTAGACCGCACCCGCTTACATGGAAAAGGGAGGTCAAGTTCCCATTTGGACGTGCCGCTCGGTCTTAGAGAGCGAGGGTTGCCCGTATCTCACATCCGGATGGCACCGCAATAATATACTCCGTGTTCAGGATCAATTGCATTTTTTTTAGACGGAGGGAGAAGCCTTCAATAAATGGGCCCAACTTGCTGACATATCTCAACCCAAACATGTTTGTCAAATCAAATACCCTGTGATCCAAAAACTAAGTCCGTTAAAGTATCGATGTAGTCTGTATACTGTACTTTGACAAACACTTCCCACCATTTTTCAAAAAAAAAAAACCCTTCCTAGTTACTTCAGCTTTATCATATGGTATGATTTGATCATTGGTGTGACACATTTCGAACTATATCTAAAAATCATTTATGGAAAAAATTTGTCGGGTATTAGTATTAGGGATACCAGGAAGAAGGAAGTTGATGGCCGTGAACGCTAACTTGCCCGGTTGGTCAAGAGCGTATTTTGGTCTCGCCCGACCCCGAGGGTGCGGACTCCATGTCGCCCAACCCTGAGGGCGCGGGCTCTGTGTCGCCCGAACCCTCGGGCGCGGGCTCCGTCTCGCCCGAACCCTCAGGCGCGGGCTTCTTCTCGCCAGACCCCTCGGGCGCGGGCTCCGTCACATCTGACCCCGAGGGTGCGGGCTCCGTCTCGCCCGACCCCTCGGGCGCGGACTTCGCCTCGCAGACCCCTCGAAGGGGGATTCCGCCTCGCCCAACGGGGGTCCGTACCACCTCCAACCACTACGGGTCTAAAAGCATGAACCCAGGGTCAAACTTCTGACACCAGAAAGGAAGTATGCGCGTCTTGACGTGACCCACGACCACGACGGGCCATACCTGAGGACTCACGTCACCAACAGTGTCGGGCGTGCCAGCGCTATGCTACCTAATCCCCGTACGACTTTCGATGGGGGTATCTGCTAACCATGCCGCCCGCTGGGACGGAATGGAGCGCCACGGACGACGCCCACATATAGCGCCAGTGATGAATAGGATCACGACGTGGAGCCGTCCCCGTCATCATCTACAAGACCGACGAGACCGACATAAAGGAGATGAAGGGCGCCGCGACCGCGGAGGCCTTCTTCCTCCTCACTTTTCTCTCCCTCTCTCTCTTTCTCTCGTGTAACCTACGCCTTCCCCTTCAACTATAAAAGGGGAAGTAGGACACCCCACGAAGGGCATGGCTCCACGCTGAACGGTTCAACGAGTTCAACTAGACTCGACTTCATTCGATCCTTCCATCAGAGACTTGGGACATTCTCCCTCTTTTGTCCGTTTGTAACCCCTACTACAAACAAGTGCCGGTAACACGAGCAGCCTCAAACTGGACGTAGGGATATTCCGCCCGAACTAGTATAAACCCTTGTGTCCACCGAGCACACCATCCGGGCCAGACGCGCAAACACAAAATTACTAGTCGGCGGTTCGAAACACCGACAAAAATTGTCATAGTTGCTATAGTAAAATGTTGGGCCCTGTTCGTTTCGTTGAAATTTGGCTTATGTTGATTTATTGTGAGAGAAAAACATTGCTCGTTCGCTGAAAAGTACTGCTGAAGTAGTTCAAGAGAACAGGGCCTTGGTGACAACCGGCGAGTAAACGAAAACATAGGGAAGTAAGAGTAACTCCACGGATCTCTTTTCCCTTTTCTTTTAAATTTAGTATAGGGATTGAGAAAACTTAATTGTATAGTATAAGGTGGTGTTTGAGAAATGGAAAATGGAGGTTGGGATAGGAAAAGGGAAATGGATTGGGATAAAAGGAAGGTTTGTGGGATGGGAATGCTAGTCTTTATTTTCCCATGCCTATCTTTATTTCCCATTATCCAAACATGGGATCAAATCTTTCGCTGTCCAAATGTGTCGTAAGGGATGTGTGCTAGAGAAGTTCCATCTTGTTTATATGCAGGACCCATACGTCAGTGGGTAAGGAAATCTCCTTTATGCTCTGTTCTTGTTATTCTCTATGTTAGCTCAACACAGAGTGCAACAAGCTTGCTCACCCGCCTCCTTTCTTCTCATTTCTCTCCCTGTCTTTTGGTAAGAGGGACAACAAGCCTGCTTGGCCGGTTGTAAGGATGAAAATGCATCGGATCAGAACGGGTAATGTCTCTTCCATATCCTAATCTGTTTTTCTTTGTCGAATTTGGATCGGAGTGGATAATACACTAATGCATATGCGAATGCAGATTTTTTTGAATGTCATAATTGGTATGCACATGGAGCGGAAACAAACCGGGTTCAGATTTAAATAGTTGAGTAATACGTGCACAGGTAGAGAATTATATGATTTCAAGAATTAATTTTGTAGTTAGCCAATAACAAGTAGTAGTACACAATAATCTTGTATTGCTTTCCATGTTGTGGCAATCACACGGGCACAATTAACACTTATGAGTTATTGTCGGTACAGAAAGTGACCAACTAGTGAATATTTGTAGTTTTGCTGTACGTTGTGATCGGAGGTGGCCTAGCACTCAATGACACAGGATTTATACTGGTTCAGGCAACGTGCCCTACGTCCAGTTTGGGTCGGTCGGTGACTTTATTCCTGAGCCCAGGTGCTCGAAGTCTGCAGTGGGGTTACAAACGAGAAGAAAAAAGATGGGGGTACCAGAGGCCCGGTCGGCTCCGTTCGGAAGGGCCGAGAGCGGCGGGAACTCCACTATGAGCTAAGTGTTCAAGCGTGTGCTTAAGGTCCGAACCTGGCGGTTCTGTGGTTGTGAGCTATTGGACTAATGAATCTAAAGGAACTGAGTCTGGATCAATCCGTCTTCCTGTTGGAGGAAGTGCATCCCCTTTTATAGATGAAGGGGATGGCTTTACAGGTGAGAGGGAGAGGGTACGGATGCTTTTAAGCCTTGTTGCCCACGCCGATGAGGATTGGATAATGGTAGGCGCCCACAACACTATTGATGTCACTATAGAATGTCAGGTGCACGTGGGAGATTGCGTTGTCTTCTTCAGGAAGGGTTGACGTCGGTACCTACAAAATACTGCTGGATGCCTAGAGGCATGTGAGGAGTCTCACCACGTTTACCGGGTATGGTGAATCCCGGCGCCTACAACACTATTGATGCCCAGAGGCATGTGAGGGCTTTTTGCTGTACGGGAGTCCAACGGCGCCAACAATACTGTAGGGATAAATGTCGGCGCCTACAATACTGTTTGTGTCAGGGTGGTTGTGGAACACTGTTCCCACAGTGTGTAGGGTATGGTCCCTGTACTATAGTTTGACTCGCGTGCTGCTTTCTCCGTTCGTCCCTGTTCCTTCCGAGCAGGCGTCCCTTGTCGGATGGCCCCATTCGGCTTCGGTTGCGCCGGTCGGAGAAGAGCGGCGAGCAAGGTTCTTACGTACCCTGGTCGGAGAGATGCGGGGTTGGAGTCGGAAGTAGGGCTCGGGGCAGGCTTTCTGATTGGAGAGGCCGTCCGAAGGCGGCTGGAGCCTGAATCGAGCGCTCCGGTCGGATAGGTGGGCTGAAGTAGCTGACGAGCGGGCGTTGCTTTTCTTGGGCCAGGCCTTTCGGTCGGTTGCTGGATCGCCCCTTTGCCCTGTTGCTTTTAGACTCTCGGGTCGAGCCTTGGCTTGGAAGCCGGTCCCCGAGGGACCCCGGGTTTATGAACCCGA